CTGCTTCCAGTTACAAAGACAGCTTGCCAGTGTAGTAGATGAGCTGCGACTGGGGGCGAGAAATGACCTTCAGCATGAGGGTCAGTTTGTCATCTATACAGATATAACAATTTTCACGTGAACTTAAGGTGACCCTCCATGTTACGGTCAAAGCTGCATTGTGCTGAAGGCTCCTTCCCTGCTGTTGCAACCATGAAACGTTCAGCTGGGCTGATGCAGTCTGCTCAGCTGTAGTCGGCATGATTCACTGTCTGCAATCCCCCTAAAACTGAAATGAAGGGCGTCAAATGTTTGGGGATTTTTTTATTTTTTGAAGCAGAAATGTAGGATTAAGTTACTAATGATTTGTGGGAAAAACACTCCAGTAATAATTCTACAACAAACTATCTGGGACAGTATTTTAAAGAATTGCCATGAGTTGTTATATTCCTAAAATATAGATGGTTCAGTTGTGTAAATGTTCCGTATTGTTGCTGTGGGGCAAAACCTTTATATTTATTTTTTTTTTTTTTTTTGTAAAAATCATCTATTGATCACACTCCAACTGTCTGTGATCAATAGTTACTGATGAATTGACATTTAAAAAGTATCAAAAATACTGTGACTTTGACCAAACTGTATGAATTACTAACTAGGAGATACTTTTTAATGTCTGTTAAAAAGTATCTTTTTCTTTCATGGAAAGTTCTGTTCTGGAAGTACAAAGTTTTTGCCAGACAGCTGTGATATATTTATTTTTTTATGTAATTATTATGCAATTTCTAGTAAAAAGAAAAAAAAAAATAACTATAAAGGCATTCAAGTTTGGACCATAATTAAAGAATTGGTAAAAAAAATAAATAAAATAGTTGAAGCATTGACTTTGAAATTGCTCATGTACTTCAGCCCTTTATTGTTTCTGAGGAATATAGCAATACAGGTTGCAAACAAGCAATAAGCTGCTGCTCTAATTCCAGAGGATTGGAAAAACGGTTCCATTCAAAATAAGAGAAATGTACTTAAAAATACCGAGTGAAGTTTATACTTCAGCCATGCATTATTGGTGGACATTCTTGTCAAAATCAAAACACAAAACAGTGTTTTGATCCTTCTATAGAAGTTGAGGGGAAAAAAAACAAAGTTCATCTGTAAAATAAAAAATAAAGTGTCTTCCTTTCTCTTTACAAACTCAAGCATTTTCTGTAAAGCTGAAACATGCTTCCAGATTTAATCTTCCTATGAGTCATCATGCTATTAATAAGTTTCTTTCTGAAGAACAGCATCGCATTTGCGTTTGTGTCGAGTCATCCAAGCTCTTTCCCCTGTGAACACGTATTCCTGCCCAGAACTATTGGAACACATTCTACAATTCCTTTCCATGTATTAGTTTTGCCAGAAACCGTACTCTTGATGTCATGTTACTAATGTTCTATTGGATTAAGGTCCGGAGGGGCTGGGCTGGGCCGATCCGCAAATGTTAATCACAATGTTGGGGGATGTCATAAACACTCGAGGGTATTTCCTTCTCGGCATAAGGCAACATGACCTTTTCAAATATTTCAAAGTGATCCACAATCTGTGGAGTAGGAGAAACACATCATGCCTGACCTGTCTTAACAGTCAGGCTTGAATGAAGTAGATGGAGGTCATTTGACAAACTAAGGACTCTAGACTGTAGTGTGTGGAAAGTATTTGCTGTCGCCTCTAAATAAGGGTCACATGTTTTTAAGAAATTGTCCGCTCTCACTGGTTTAACCACATACTGCTATCAGTTTGATGAGGCCCTTTCAGTTCATGATTCAGTCACACACAGCACGAAGCACGTTGGTTCTGTGTATTCTGTCACTGTAGTGAACCTAATTTCTTCCAAACGCAGTGATCTGGTCAGAAAAGTTGGACGGGCTTTACTTCGACCTCAACCAATTGATGTTGTTCTATGCGGCACTTTAATTTAGAAGCGAGGCTCTTGACAAATGCAGCAGAGAAATAATTTGTAGCACCAAACTAGAGCCAGTGGGAAGCACCGTGTGATCAGATCTCCTCTGTGAGTATGTCTGGCTTTAGAAAGATGAAGGAACAATAGAGATCAGTTTGCTTGTTTGGGGGGAGGGAAATGGTATCAGGAAGGACATTGCTACTTTTATTCCAAGCCGTTTCTTCATGTTGCTGCCCAGCTTGGCCCTGAGAGTTTCGGCTTTGTTGGACGGAGATAAAAAAGAAAAGAAAAAAAGACTGGACTAGATACAATAAATGTTTTGTCAGTAAGAGGTCATTCAAGCAAATGTCTCTTCAAAATGTTTAATGTCAGTGAAATGGGAAAAATATACAGGAGTTGTTCCACATTTTTTGTAAATTAAATACCAATTTTTTAAGAACTATAATCCATTTTCAGGGGGCCTCTAGTGTATTATGACGTTAATCTCACGATTTACGGTATAGAGATTAGGGTGTGGAAGGGATTCGTTTCAGTTTTCTTCCTCCGGGTCAGTGATTAAATGAGCAGTGACCGACAAAGTGCAGATCATTGGCGTTGCACTCTGCCTCTCCTCAGCTCTCATCCGTCGCGCTCATTTCCTTGACAGTTAAACTTTCCGTTTAATTGATGCAGCCCAGCGTTAGACGTCTCAGACGCCGTCGATTTTCAATTTTTTGTATTTTAGTCCAGACACTAGTATTTTTTTTTTAGATTTATCAGACCATTGGAGTGCCATCCACTACTACAATCTGTTAGTTAATTTTTCTGTCATTTGAAGGGTCTGCTTAATCTCACCGCTCACCTGTGTCCAGTTTTCCGTAGCAGACCAGCATGTCCAGCCACTATCATGGTGTAAATCACAAAACACATTCTCTGGAGCGCAATCTCATCACAGTCACCTGTAAGGAAGAGAGCAGAGCAGATGGAAACTACTTTGACTCAAGCTCAAGTTTAGATTTGGTTTCAGTTTCTGTATTATTTTTTTTTTTCCAGCTTTGATTCAGATGACTTCTGCGGTTTTCACTACTTGTGTTTTAGGTGTGTTTTGGTGGGTGAAGACATTTCTGGTTAACTGACCCCTGTTTGCTCAAAGCTGAGGTCATTTACTGTAAGCGAGTGGTGTGGTCATAATCTAATAAAGCCAAACTTGTAACCTTTAAGAATGGAAACATTGGTAGATTTAATTTATTGCAGATGATTATGACACCAACAAGCACAGACTTTTCTCTCCCATCAACTAGTATTAACCATGAATTATTATGCATTAAGACAGCATCATTCAAAACTTACTGCAGCTCGTCTTACAGTAACATATTATTTTGCAAGACCACATAAATAAACAATCTTTATGTAAATGTAGCAGTCTTACAGTACTTAAGAGATACAGACGACTCCTCGACTGAACTTCAATTAGCACCAACCAGAAGGCAGTTAGATAACATGGATATGTAAACAAAAGCCCCACAAACCCCAAATATCTCCATAGTTACCAAACCAAATTTAATCTTAGAGAAACATAGAGACTATTGCCCGAGATGCATTTCTTTTAATCAACATAGGGGAGGATTGCCCTTAATCATGCCAACTATTTCAGCTTAATTCACAGTTTTCTGTGTAGACGGCATTGCTATAGAAGCTAACAGCGCAACATTCAGCCAGCCTGCTATGAAAATGCTGAGAGAAATAGATTAAGTGCTTTTATGAGACTTGACGGATCTCAAAAGATGCTACAGCATATAAAAGACACAAAACTGTTATGATGTTTGGGAAAAGTTAATGCATTTATTCATTAGAAGGTTCACACAACAAGATGGTCCCGTTAAATGAATGCATAAAAATGAGCTATATATGTTCAAAGATGACTCATGAGAATGTTATATAGAAAACAAAATCAAACAAAAAAGAAAATCAGGTACAAGAAGAGGGGAAATTAAATGGTAACAACATATTCTGGGCTCAATGTTGTCATTGCTTTTAAAGTTGAATTGAACAATGATACTTCGTTGCAGAATGTGTTTCTTCAGTGCTTTACATGCTACATTGGCACACCTGGAAAATATATGTAAAACTTTTAAAATATAACGTAGTATGTGGGTTTGGTGAATTGAGAATTTTGCTGGAACTGTATGCTTTGGTTGGATGAAAACAAGATTGTGCTTTTTCAGCCACAAACACCACAGGTGGGTCTGATTTGGAAAAAAATAATAATAATAATAATATTTGAACCTTGTTAAATAGTTTTACACAACTTAAAGATTTGAAGATTCAAAAATGTTTGTTTGAACCTGCTACTGGAATGATAAATGATAATAATAAAAAAACATTTTATTTTAAGGCTTTTACACAGCTCAGCTAGGGATGCCAATAACTCCAAAGTGTTACCAAACCACAGCAGTCCAAAACATCCTTAGGATGTCCATGTTGGTGTCAGGTTACTGTGAACACCAGGGCATGATTCACACTGAATCATATGTTATTTGAATTCAAAGTTTTTAGAAAACAACTCAGTGATCCTTCAGGAGGCCATGCTGAACAGGCTTAACAACTTTCTAATAATTTAAATAAAAACTTACCTTGAGGCAACTTTCTCAAGGTAAGCTCATGTTTCTTTCTCAGAAAGCACCTCTTAAAATTTAAAATCCAAAAACTGTGTATTATTTTACACACTACACCAACTCATTTAGATCTCTAACTTTGTGCATGTCTATAGCCGGAGATTGAAAAGGTGTTTATTTTGGCGTATGTTTTCTTTTCTTTTACAAAAAACAATAGTTTTTAGGATGACAGAAATGTAATGGCTCGGTTACATAAGATTACAATAGAAATGTGTGATTAAACCCAAAAATATGATTTGTCACTGGGTGGGGCGATAGCTTAAAGGAATCATAAGGTTCTTAGTCAGAGGTCATGTTTTTAATCCCACGTATTGAATATATTAGCATGAGTGTTCCCAGTTCGGTGTGTTTCTGCTGCCATCTAGCGTTCACCTTGATGAAATGTAGTCAAGGTAAAGGTAATCGACTGATCAAGCCTTGCTCTACAGTTTCGGAGTCGCTACAGGACCGTACCTGCTGGGAAGTAACACAAGTCGTTTCTTGTTAAGTCTCTGGAGTTTGGTTTCATCTTTAACCTCAGTTTTGGCCACAGCCGAGGAGTTGAAGTCCGTTATAGGAAAGAGAGACAGAATGGAGTTTAATGAGTGAAATCGGACGTTTCCATTTTCGCCTTTATCAGCGTCACGAACGCAGCTTGGGACACCTGCCGCTCCCTCCGATAACTTTCATTTTGTTGTTGCTGAACTCTGGACGTTAATATGTGCTGCGTTTTTTGGGTTTTTTTTTTTTTTTTTACTTTAGAATGAAGGACATTGATTGTGACTATTGTTTTTCGCTGTAAAGGTTTTGGAGTAGTGTTTGTGGTTTGAAAGGACAGACAGTTTACGGACAGTTCGTACGCGGATACATCATGTTATTCAGTCTGTTTGTACTCCTTCAGCTCTTGAGCGCTGGAAACTCGGCCTCTGCCAGGAAGTTAATGTCCCAAAACGAAGTGCCAGAAGATCAAGGTGAGACATACTTTAGGCTACTAAGAGTTTTATTTGTGGCCTGGCTCTTGTTCCAAATATGCCCTCTCTTAACTTGTTTGTATCTGGCTAAAGTGTTTACAGGTGAGTCAGAAGCGAAGTTGTTCCTGGGTCGCCATCTGCTGGCCAATCGCTTTGACTTTGAAATGTTTGTTCCTGGCAACCTGGAGAGGGAGTGTAGGGAAGAAACCTGCAATTACGAGGAAGCCAGGGAAGTCTTTGAGAACATACCACAAACAGTTAAGTGTTGATACTCAGGGTTGTTTATCAAAGTGTCTTTTCTAGTTAGTGTTTCTGATTGCTTGTGTTTTGTTTTTTAAGGATGCCTTTTGGAAAGAATACACAAAAGGTAAGAAATAAATAATCCAGTTAATGTGAATAATATTTTGGATATTTTGTTATTACTGTCTTGGCTTGAGTTAAGATTGCTCTTAACTACATTTGAATGTAGCACACACAATAGATCTTAAATTGGGTGTTAAATTAAATTATTAGTTAAATTACCATAGACCATATTGACCATTATATGTCAGCAAAATGGTTCCTGCATGATCCTTGGTATGTGTAATACATGCTCCACCTTAGCTTGTCGTGGTTTGAGGCTAATTTACAACATCAGTCCAAAAGTGGATATAGCTCACTTAGATCTTAGAATACAAATAAAGAGTTCTGATTAAAATTTAACACCCCTGTATAGTTTAAGAATTATTAAATGATTTCCATTTAGTAGGAAGTTTGTGTCTGATAGGGTATTAATCAGGAATGTGTTAGATGATGTAAAATGGTGAATTTACATCATTACATCATATCAATAATCATAATTACCAACAATGCCAAGAAAAGATTGGTATTATCTTTCCTATAAGTGACCAGCTTTTTATATGTTTGCACTGTTTTTTTTTAATCATTTGTCTTTGCTGATGGGTGTCCAGAAAAATATTACGTTTATGTTTATGCTGTCAAACATATTGCATGAACTAGAGGTTGTACATTTGAACATTGCACCTACCATTAGAGGATATTTAGGTGGGATCCCAATTAGATCTACTAGACTTGACTCGCAGCTCTCTTCCTGGCAACTATGTTCCCTGTTGGTCAGCGTAGTGTCACTGTGCTAGTCTGCCAGCAGCCTTTTAACCTGCAGAATATTTTGCACATTTTGATGTGCATGTTATTTGTTTTGTCAGTGCAGATTACAAGCGGATTTCACATAATTTTCTCATAACTAATCAATCTTATAATTATCTTCATTACTCGATCTGGAGGATGAAAGCTAATAACTGTCAGTTGCACATAAAGACAAGTCAGATGAGTTTTCCAAGCTAGAACAATGTCCTGTTCAGCATGTAAGTTATACAGTTGTTATATATATGCATATATAAAACAATTGGGCAACACTTTATTTGAAGGGGGGTGAATAAGACTGACATGAAACTGTCATAAACATGACATAACACCTGTCATGAACATGAATAAGCCTTCACGAATATTTATGACTGTTGTCATAAAGCGTCATTTGGTAAATTATGACACTTTTAATACAAAGTTGACATTATTCAAAATGTCTTTGTTATGACAACATGACATTAACCAAGAAATCATTACTGATATAAATTTGTTATAAAAGTATTACTGATTGCACTTTAAAAATCAGGTAACTTTATGTTATTAAAGGTAAAGTTTAAACAGTAATGATTTATTGGTTAATGTCAAGTTGTCATAACAAAGATATTTTGAATAATGTCAACTTTGTATTAAAAGTGTCATAATTTATCGAATGACGCTTTATGACAACAGTCATAAATATTCATGAAGGCTTATTCATGTTCATGACAGGTGTTATGTCATGTTTATGACAGTGTCATGACAGTCTTATTCACCCCCCTTCAAATAAAGTGTTACCAACAACTGTGATATATATCCAGTGGCTTGCTACCATGAGTGTGTGAGCGTGTGAATGGGTGAATGACTGAATATAGAAATATATATATATATATATATATATATATAGAGAGAGAGAGAGAGAGAGAGAGAGAGAGAGAGAGAGAGAGATCATCTAATCTTACTTTCTGTGGTTTTGCCAATACACAGAGAAGAATCCCTCAAGGGTGGATGTAATTGGACTTCTAGTGGGACTCATCTGTGCTGGAGTGGTGGTTCTTATTCTTGGTGTCTTGATCTGGTATTTGTGTCGATCCACTTTTAAGAGTGGCATCAGCCGTCGTCCAAGGTGAGACAGCTTCATCCACACTTGGTAAGGTCAAGTAGTTAGAAGTCTAACTGGTCTTTAGATACTACATCCACTTCATGCATCAGTAACACTGGCAATGAGACAGCTCCACAGCATAATGCTACCACCACTATTATGTTGGTAGTTGGTACAGTTTGGGGCCTTGTCTTTGTTTTTTGTTTGTTTGTTTGTTTGTTTGTTTGTTTTTTAAACTTCCTGATCGATTTCTCTTGACTTTTGACTCATATTTGGACATGATTCGGTGTTCCAAACAGACACTAATCTCAAACACATCAGAGCATATTTGAAATGGAAAAAACAGGCTTGTATTAAGACTCAAGGAGGATTTTCCTAAATACCAGAACCACATTGGATTTAAACTGTGGTTAAATGCTTGGCTGTTGTGGGAAAAATTAAAACGAAGAAGGCTTCTTCTACGCGACTGACAAGAAGTTATAAACTTAACTCTTATGTAACACAATCTTCTAATATAAGCACAAGACATCATCACATCTTCAACTACTTCAGAATAGCAGTGTACTTTCTCTGTATGTCTCAAAGAAAAACAACAAGCAGTCACTTTTTAAAAATATAAAATTGTTGACTTTTGATTTGCAAAGAGAAAAGTTAGACTTGCACATAACTGGGAAATCTGTTTGTTTCCACTCTGCATCTCTGCCTCTTGTGAAATCTGCAGTGAAGAGCCATAAATACATTTTCCATTATTACTAAGTTAGACACTCAGTTTCCAGTTTGTTCTCTTGAAGCACTAAGTATGCCCTAATATAAACATTTGTCTGTCCTCTCAGCTCCGCCCGAGTACGACACAGGAGGAGCAATGCCTCCCTAATAATGCGAAGGTTGGACGATGCCTCCAGACAGCCTGAGCTCTCTTCTACATCCGGGCCAACTTTGGATGTAGAAGACCCTCCTGGCCTACCCTCATACGAGCAGGCGATCTCAGCAAGTGGACAGCACGATGCGCCACCTCCTCCATATCCTGGGTAATCCATGTGAACTGATACTTTTAATAATTTTCTGAACCCATTTCACAAAAACTATGTCCTTGTAACTTTATTTTTTATTTATTATTTTTTATTTGGGTTTCAGCTCAAGACCTGGGAGTGTTCGACGATAATCTTTTCACAAAAAAAAGGAAAAAAAACAATGCAAGATAATGACTGTGAAATTAAAATTTAATTTATAAGTAGCATCTACATCATTATACTGTATCTATTTTTACATCATAATATTTCTAATGATGGTTTTGTACCTCTCTCACCTTTATTAAGCTGTTTTTTCCCTACATAGACAGAATGGAAGTTCAAAAGTGTCCAAAAGCATGAATTTAATTTTGGGTTTTCCTGTTATAAATAATGTAAAGTAAGAATTTTTATTTTTTTTTATTTCCTGAAAAGTCCATTTTTTTGGAGTTACCTCGTCCAACATGAATGTTTTCTACAATTATCCTTTTCTTTTTGAGGTTGGTGGGTTTGCTGAGCATCATGTTCAGTGTCCTCCACAAATCTTCAGTGGGATTTAAAACCTGACAGAGATGTGACAAATAAGTGTTTAAACTTTATGACTTTGAGATAGTTCCCAAAGAAATATTGTACGGTTAGAAGAAAATTAGAAATTTTTCCATAAGAAATTGCTGAAAATGAAAACATTGTTACTGTTTAACAGAAAGTTTCAAGTAAGAAAAAAAACTTCTAACTGTTAAAACGTGTCAGTATGGACCAAGATGCGTTTTTGGGGCAGGGAGGGTTTGTTTGTTTTCAATGATCTGTTAAAGTAAGTTTTACTCCAGCTGTAAAACCTTACTTTTTGGTTCCCTTCTTAATGTGCATTTATACCTACCCTTCTAAGTGGATGAGCTTTATAATGCAGTTGCTGCTTTTTATCTGAATGATGAGTGTTTGCTTTAAGTTAATGAAAATGTAATTGTTCCTCGAAGGAGCAGAGACGGTATCTAGCGGTAAAGTGGAATTTCTATGGATCCCGTGCCAAGGAATACGACGTATTAATCTCTGTGACGGGACAGACATGACTCGGCTTGTACAAGTTCCTCAAAGTAAAAGTCAGTCACTGCTTTAATTTCCTTGATGGTAAAAACTGCGGTCATAGAAATGCGCTAAGCATTTCTTATCGACTGAACTACCAGCTTGCTACCTGGTGATTCACTGTTAATTTTTTTGTGTGTGCTTTTTATAAACTGTGATTTTTTTTTTGTCTTACAATTTGAAGAATGTACACAGTACCAACTAATTTCCTATTTTCCTGTCATAGTCTATGCTGAGATAAATGATCACATTATGCCTAATTTATTTAATTACAATAAATCATGTACATGGATGCTTCAGGGATTTTGACTGATGCTCTTTCTTTTAAAATGATTGCAAACAATTTAAATTGGTTGAAAAGTACAACTAAAACGCAATGGTAGTGGATTGTTAAAAAAATGCAACAATTTGCTTCCTCTGAACCAAATGTTGTAGTTTGAGAAACTAGTTGTTTTAAAAGTGCAGATGCAAATAAGTTATGTACTTGTAAATACTTACTGAACTCTTATTTTCAAGACAGATTTTTTTTCTTTTCAAAATGTGAGAATTTGCACTTCATGAAGCATCTGTGTTTTTCAGGGTTGTATCAAGCACAGCTGTAATTTGAATTTAAAAAATTTCTGTATTTTTAAATAAAATTCTATTTTAATTATGTTTTGTTTGTCTAGTTGTATTGCAGTGCCATATTTTAGGGTTTTCTCAGTCATAAAGAAATACACAATCTTGCAGTCCAGTTCTTATTGGACAGATAAATTCACTCAACATTTGAAGTTTACCAAAAAATTGCTTTTGTTTAACCCGTACGTTTTGCACTCCCGTCTTTGTTAGCCCACATTTAAATGACACTTTGACACAATTTACAAAATGCTAAACGTTAGTTGGTTTAATTTGGACATTGTTTTGGTTCATAAGTAATAATCTTTTTATAACACAATATTAGTAATTGCTTTTATTTCTTGAAAAACACATGTTGGTTTACCATAACCATGCATTTTAGAAAATATAATTATTTTCTTTTTCATTAATCATTTTGAATACAATTAAATAAATGTACCTTAATTATAGAGATGCATCACCTTTATTTATTTACTTGTTTATTCAAGCCCGCTCACGGTCACATAGTTTCTTTTTTGGGACATCTGGAGTCGATTTTTCGGATTAAAATTTCCCTGCTGTGTGTGTGTGTGTGTGTGTGTGTGTGTGTGCGTGTATGGGTTTCTGTCTGCAGTGTAACACAATCCATCCTTAAAAGAAGTTTCATGTAGCCCGCTAGGTGCAGCCATGTGTCCCTGCCTCAAACCCTGAAGACTTCTTGTAAACTAAAAAAAAACTAACGTGACGGGAAATGAAGGAAAAATAAATCACGCAGAGAGAGGAGACACTTTATCTGGGACACAGGACAGCCTGGCGTCGGGTTTGTTTTCCTCCGCGGACCGTACACCGCTTTTCCCGGGGTCCGGTGGGTACGACCCGGGGCTGCTGCGATGTGTTCCCGCTGCTTCACGAAGCTCCTGTGTGGAAGTGAACCTTTCACCGGATGATGGACAGGAACTACCCGAGCACCAGCTTCGCGGACGCGCTGGCTGTACCACCACACACCGTAGCTTCATGGGCCTATGACCGCGGCTCAGTCGCTATCAAACCAAGGTAGGAGATGAAGGAGAGGGCGGGTCACCTTCCGAAGGAAATATCGGTGATGGAGGGCCTAGTGTTTGCTTTTGAAGAGAAGTACAGAGGTTCTTTTGCTTCCGAGGGACACTGAAATATGTTGATATATTTCGCGACATAAACACAGCTGCAGAGTCTAACTTGTTGGGATTTTTTAGCCGTATGTTGATACCTCCCCCCTCGCTAATTTACGTTAGCAAAACAGTCCCCTATCATGTCCGTGCACTGTAGCTAGTTGGAGAATAAAGTGTTTTTGTATCTGTAGCATGAGCTGACCAGGTGTGCATAATACTTTAATTGTAATAATGTATTTTCTCCACTCGTGGTTGATAGTTGAAACCAAAGCAAATTGGACTGTTAGCAGCCAGAGCTAGTTACTGTATGACAGTTCTGGAAAGTGTTTCGTGTCGCTCTGTGTAGATTCATACCATTGTTGTTGCTGCTTATTCATTGAGGATAAGTTGGTGAAACACTGAAGGGTCTTCTGACCAAACTTGGCGATTAATGGCTTATTTGTTCATTTTGTAGTGCTTTTTTTTCTAAGCAACTTTGTTTTTATAAATATACTAGGCTTAAACTTGTAGCAAATGTTCTTCGCATCGATTTCAATTTATCGCTACGATTAATGGAGTAAATCTAATTATACTAAGAGTATAACGCAGTATACTGTTTCTTTTTAAAATGATCCAAGTGTCATTGTTTTTTGGCTCCCACTATTTAAACACCCAAGGTAGCCAGGTATATGATTTAGTTATCTACTTTATAGAATTTAACGTTCTTTGAAGTCAGTTTGTCAGCAAACAGCTGCAGGATTTCTGATACTTTGTATTTGTAAAAGGGATCAGTAAAAAGCCAGAATAACCTTAGTTAGGATCTTTCCATTCACAGATGTTTACCTTCTGGCTGAAGGTCAGTACTTTAAATCTGGTTGACGGGATTTAATTATATTTGAGAATAAAGGACGACTTCTGTTGACTAACCGATGCAAATTTGTTTTAATCTTTTATTGGTGTAGCACATTTTGAAGCAAATTTGTAATGCAATTTTTGCAAAAGCAAAAACGGCAAAGAGTGATATTTATTTTTAGAAAGAAACCCAATAGACAAGAACTCAGATCAGTCAGGTTCTTTCTCTTGGCAAACACCTTTTGAAATCAGTGCTTCTCACTGTTTGGAAACCTGCAGCAGACTTTGTCTTTGGCTGCAAAACACACCAATAATGTCATATCTTGCAGCTATAGTTAGGCTTGTCACAATAACAAATTTTGCTAGACAATAAATTGTGCCAGAAGTTATTGCAATAAACAATAATATTGTTGTTTTAGACCATATTCAAGTAATACAATGATAATGGCATGATAATGCAAGAACACATTCTCAGAGATAAATGAACATTTAATTCTGTTAATGAACATTTAACACTGTAACTGGAAGACATTTAAAATCTCCAAAATAAATAAGCAAGACAATAAAAACAACAAATAAAATTAATTTTGATGTCTCTGCAAACAAAATAAACCAGTTGAGAGAGACCAATGCACTAGACTGAAGACTTTTGTCATCCAATTTTTGGTAGAAAGAGAGAGACGAGAAAAACAATAAATCATGCAAATGGAAATTATTGAGCTCATTCTAATTTACCATGTGATTAATTGATTTATTGCTAGCTATAGTAAAGATATTCAGTAACTGGTTTGAATCATTTGTCGACAGAGACAAGTTTTAGATAAGATGTTTAACCCAGTTTGAAGAAAGCAAAGCATGTTTTCCTAAAATCGCAGTATTTTTGCAATGGAGCTCATCTTTAATCTGAAACTTAAATATTTATTTGAGAGTAAACAGAGAAAGTAATTTATCTGCTATAGGTTTAGATAGATATCTGCTACTCTTTACCATTTGTGACCAAAGTCAGCCTTCAGAGGCTTGTGTCCTACATTAATTAGGTGATTCTAAACATACCTTAGTTAGAGAAATGCGTCATTAGCAGTCTACGGCAGAACGTGACGGCAGGCTAAAGAGATAATTTCGTCATTTGAGTCAATGTTAGTGCAGGGACGTATGCAGAACATTGACTGTTGAGGGCCAGTGTTGGGCATCCCTGTCTTGTGATATGACTAATAAATAAAACTTCAGCACTAAATTAATCAGACCTTTTACGCTCCTGACTTAAAACATTCCTAAAAATTTGTTTGTTTTTTTTGGGTGGCCAAAGGAATTTTTGAATCCTCTGTCTGCTCAGCCTTCACGGGGTGGCTCGGTGTTGCTTCTGAAAAATAAAAGCAATTGGACAAATTAACGTTTTGTTTGCTTTGTGCACACAGTCCCAATTATGTTGCACCAAACCTTGACGGGGAGCTCCTCCAACAGCAAAGCTACACTACAACGCAGCAGCTCCCCACTTACACTACAGCACACATCCCAGCAGCTGCACGTGAGTTTTAGATGCTACAAGTTTTGTTCATAAGTGAGACCAGTCAGCTAAATGGCTAACATTATCAAAGGCCTCAATCTTTGAGGATGATTTTAATTTAAATTGATTTTTTTTCTTCATTTTGACTGTAAGGCACACTTGAGTCAAGTGGTAACAATCCTGTGACCTCAATCATGAGCTTCCTGTCAGCCATGGAGTCAAGAAGTCTTCAGACCGGTCCTGTTAGTGCCTCTTTGCTTCCTCCTTTTAGACCGCCATCTTGGACTACTGGTAAGAACACAGAAACTGGACCTAATCCGCTTGATGATTTTAGAAGTCGTCCTTTTTTTTGTAAGCTCACAAATTATGCAGAGTGTGTCTCTTTGCTTTGTGCATGCCGGGCATATTACAAACTTTGATTTCTTCTTTGTAGGTGCCAACTCTTCCACCACAGAGCTGTATCTGACTGGTGCTCTGCCTTCAACAGCCAGTTTCCCCTCTCCTGCTGCTCTGTCCTCCTTTCAGCACACAGGTGCCTACCCACCCAGGAGCTATGCTGCCAACACATCCCTTACACTTCCAGATCCTGCCTTCAGCACTTCCACCAATGGGCTGTTTCCTCACCATGACCCACTGCTTAATCTTAAACCCAGCCAAACTGTGATTCCCACTGCCCTGACCTTCAATCACCTCTCTACACCCTCTCTGGGCTCAGCTCTGCCTGTGCAGTCCTCCACTTACCGCTCAGCCCAGGAGTCAGCTCCCCACCTACTACAGCCCCAGTTTGGTCTTCTTCCTTCTGCTCTGCCCGCCACTCATAGTGCCCCACAGTCCTATGGGGCCACGATTTTCTCTGGCTCTATTGAAAGAGCTCTTCAGCGTGAATGTAGTGTAATAAAGCACCACCAGAGGCCTTCAAGTAGCCACATGCCCAGTTCAGAGGACTCCCTGCAGGGGTATTTTGGCTCTGGCAGTGAAACGGATATGTCTTACCAGCAGGACCCGTCCCGTCACACACCAGTGTCCTGCAGTCCGTCTTCAAGAACAGACTCCACCCAAGGAGTCAGTGGGTCTCCGCAATCTAAAAGCGATTGTGGAACACAACCGTACTCATCCACTTCTTTGCTGAAAAATAAAGACGCTTCTTCCCGACTGAATTCACATTCTGCTGGAGATGAAGAGAATCACACTCAGAACTTGAGAACAGGGTCTCCGGAGCGTTATTCTTCTCCTACTGAGAAGCAGAACTCTGTCATTGCTAATCAACAAGCGGTCCAGCTGTCTGGCCTAATATCAGACAGTTTGTCTCAAAATTACATGGCTCCACAAACACAGTCACAGACCTCTCATTCCCCCTCGGAGAAGCTCTCCTCACTTTACAATACCTTGCCATCCCACTCGAGTCACTGTGACAACGTGGCTCCCGTTAGCCAAGCTCTTATTTATACAACCACTCCTGGGCTGAACCAAGAGCAGATCCAGTACGGAGCCCAGGTTCAGAGATTCTGTCAAGAAAATTTTTCAGACAGCTTCTCCGGTGCCCACTCTCAGGGGCCCCCAAATCTGACGTTTACCTCTCAGCCGCAGGAGCAAGCTTCGGCAACACATTCTCAAAGTTACAACACGGGACAATCCCTCAGTACTGTGTTCCAATCCACATGTGTGCAAAGTCTTCCTACGTCTAATTCTTTGGTGGATTATAGCCACATGCAGGACTCAGTGGCAGGTAAAGCGCATACCAGCGCATCCCACCAACAGACACAGCCTCACAGTGTTTTATCCGTACCTTTGCCTACATACTCTTCACCTGCTCCACCCATACAGAATAACATACGATCCTCCATACATGAAACAGATCCAACATACGCCAAACAAAAGCTCGAAGAACTCCCATCCCAGGACATCGAGGCTCTACAGCAGGTGTCCATGGTCTCTGTTGCTGACAATAGCATGGCTGCTCACAACAATGTCATCTACGTGGTTTCAAAAATGGATGATCACAAACCACAGAGTGTTATTCGAAGCAATTCTCGCTCTGACGAACAATTCCTGGGACTTGGCCATGCAAATTCGGCACATGCAAAGGATGAACACATCGGTTGCATGACCCAGCAGCAGGTTTGTTTAGGCAGTGCTGATGGTCATGAAGTTGCTAACTCAGAGGGTTCAAATACCTCTGTTTCATCACATGGACCTCTCAGTTCAGAGCATCTTAACCAGCAGCTCAGATCTCCTGAGCCACACCAACAAAATCAGCAAACCCACTCTCAGTCCCAGGGTCAAATTCAAGCTACCCACTCTCAGTTTATGTCAGTCCCCAGCTCTCAGGTGCTTCTTGAGCCCAACCAGATGATTCTGGTCCAGCAACCTCTTGTCCACCAAAGTCAGAACTCTTCAAAACTAGCATCGATGCCTGGTGTCCAACCAGCCCAGTGTTTGGGTCCGGTTCACGTACAGTACCTCCAGATGGATCGAGGCCTGCTTTGCCCAAATGTCTCTAATGAAAACCAGAGTCAGCAGACTGTGGTCATGTCTGAACCAAGCTCAGAATGCTCTTCCTCTAAACACCATTACAGCCAGACAGCAAGTCAGCAGCCAAATGATGGCAAGAACCAGTTTGCCCTTAACTCTATTTGCTTTCCCGACTCGATGCTCCTGGCAGATGAAAGAAATATTTTGTCAAACGTTGACGACATCTTGGCTGCCACTGTGGCGGCTTGCGGTGTCACGCCTCAAGATTTTGTCAAAGCCGCATCGTCCGCTGAGGCTGAAATGACTGCAAGGGCAAGTCCCGTTGATTCCAAAGGTCAGCTCCTGACTGTGGATATAAGCCAGATGTCGCCCAGTTTTTCCTCATCACAACATCCTGCCATCACCAACACTCACTGCCAAACTATCAGCATGACACTAAATGGTGCTCAGATGGCCACAGACACCCAAGATCAGGCTGCTCGCCATAACAGTAACATTAATCTCGTCATGAATGGGGATGGAATGACCACCGAGAGTGGCTACCACTCTGTCAGACAGGTGTTCAACTGTGTCCACAATGGAGTCCAAGAGACTACAAAATGCACAGAAACACAAGAATGTCCGGGCAGTGATGACTCTCCAAAAAAGAAAGCACGCTCCAAGTCCTTAACTAAACCGAATTCTGAGGACAGTGAGGGACTGACTAGACCGGCTAAGCGCAGTGGACAAACCAAGCGTCAAAACTCACGGGGCAGTGATGCCACTCCTCCGTCTGCCTCAAGTAGCACACAGGACAGTTGTCCTCAGCATGAAAGAATCAGGCAGAAGATCCGTGAAGTGGAAGAGAAGCAGCCAGAGGTCAAAACCGGCTTCCTTGGCTCCTTCCTAGACTTTATCAAATCGGGCCCCAAACAGCAGTACTCCCCTAGCTCTACGAGAAGTAGCAGTCGTCCAAGAAAACCATCCTCCTCCTCCAAACCGTGCACTTTGCCTCCTTTGCCACCCAAAGTGCCCACTCTTCCTGGACCGCTGCTTCCCCAGAAGAGTCCAGGTGTGAGCTCCCAGCAGAAACGTCTGGAAGAGGATCTACACAAGAACCTGGAGACGTTGCCGTCGTTCAGCTCAGACGAAGAGGAGAGCACTGGGAAGAATCAAGCTCTGAGGAACAGCATCAGCTCAGCTCTCTCAGCTCTGGATGAGACTTCAGATCGGAAAACGACTATGGGTAACGGCATCCTGCCCTAAACTTGGCTATTCAGCTTATATTGAATTTTTTTTCATGCTGTTTTTGCTGTAATGGAAAATTGTTTTTATCACAGTCAGGAAAAGCTTTTCACAAATTTGATAAAACGCTTGATTGACTCATTAATTCAAAAATAAGTTAACTCCTCATTATTATTATTATACCTTTCTACTCCCTCTTCAGATAACCAAATTCAGGTTACAGTGATGAAGCCTGTCCAGCTTCCCACCATCCCTCTCACCATCACCCAGATTTACCTGCCGCCGGTATCCGCCCCTGCTGTGGTGACCCCTGCGCCAACCACAGTCTCAGGGGAGAAGGAGTTTATGACCAAAGAGAAATTAAAAGAGACGCCGTCAGGCGAGTTGGCTGTGCAACTTATGAGCGTGGCCTTGGAGGGGCTGACTGATGACGAGCCGTCTGACAGCGGGGGAGAAGGGATGTATCGAGAGAGAGACGAGTTTGTCATCAGGAATGAGGACATTGAAACCTTTAAGGTATTGCACATTAGATCACAGCATTGACACACCCCAAAACTTGTTCCACTCATTTTTGTGACAAATATCCAGTGTAATTCAACAGAATAACTAACAAATCCGCTGTGGAGATAATAAAACAAATGAAAAGTTACATTAACACGATTGCATACGTGTGTTTAAGCTTCATCTTTTTTGCCTAGTCTACCTTGATAAAGCTCTTTTGGTCATCATGGCTTCAGCTAAGTGTTCGTACAGCAAAAGCTCAACCTTATCTAAGGTTAATGAGATTCAATTAATTACATGTCTTTTTTTTGTTTGTTTCATAATTTAATTTGCTGTGAAGTCTTGAAGTCCCTCTCCTTTTACATCTTTTGCACGACTTGCAGGTCACAATGAGGGCAGGAGTGGAGCCTCCAGCTATTTGGAAGGTCCAGAAAGCACTGCTGCAGAAATTTGTGCCTGAGCTGAAAGACGGGAAGAGAGTGTTTTCTGCCACAAACAGTGTGAGTTAAATCTGTCTGTGGATGCACGAGGATTCAAATACTCTGTCTCCTCTCAACGTGTGACCCTTTTCTCCTTTGCACTGCAGTACCTTGGATACTTTGGTGACGCAAAGACGATGTACAAGAGAGTGTATGTGAAATTTCTGGAAACGGTTAACAAAAGGGAGTACGTGAGAGTTTGCAGTCGGAAACCACGCAGCAAGCCGATGAGTTCACTAAAGTAAGTTGATAAATCTAATTTCATACATTTGTTAGAATGACTTTTCAGTTGTGTAACTGCTGTCTTTCTCACAGGGCTATTCAGATGAAAGCTTTGCTGGGCCTGACAGATCCGCCTTTATCAGCTCCCCAGAACCATAAGCCCCGCCCCAAACAAGTGAAGCCACGGGCAGAACCGCCGCCCAAGAAGAGGAAGAAATGGAAGGAGGAGTTTTCACCCACCCCCTCAGGATCATCTGCAGAAGAAGGTACTGGGGAGGATTTGAGGATATACTTTTGTTTTGCAGAAGTATTTGGGTTTCTCATTTAACTTTAACTTGAGTCTGTGTTCTTTTATTTCTCTTTGCCGTTTCCCGAATTTTTCTCTGTCTCTGTTCCACTTCAGAGTTAAACCCTCCATTTGCTTCGAGGCTCCTCAACACACGTACAACGAAAGACACGTTCAAAAGCTTTGTTGAGCTTCTTATTAGTGTTGCTTTGGATGAAGATGTGATGGCGGCACTGGAGAGGGCAAATGGTTTGTGATCTACATTTCCAAAGTCATCTGACTACTCTGAGCTGGGGCTTAGAGCGTTGTTCATGTGTTTTATAACAGACGAGTTGCTGCTGCCGCACATGAAGAAGGTAGATGGGATAATCACTGACATCAGGAAACGCTTGCTTAACAAACTGCACATAGGGCAGGTCTTAAAGGTGAGTCTTTCTGTTAACCTTACACATCTGCCTTGGTGAACAAAAGCCAAAAGGCACATACACCAACCTGTTTTTAACTTAGCTGAGTTGTTTTTATTGTTGCTTTCCAGACAGCTCTAGACAGCTTCCCGGAGATCTCAGTGGTGACTGAGCTGAAGAAGGATGGGGAAACCCCAGCCTTTAAGGTACGTCTCAGTGGGAGGGCCTACAACAAGAAGACGATGAAGTCCTACAAGTTGCCAAACAAAGTGCCTCAGGTCAGACATGTTCGTCCTTCAGAAGAATGTTTTATTGCGTTTTTTGTCCAGGAGAGGGCGCAGCATCACCTATTGTCCTTGTCCTGCATTCCTGGCCTCCAATCCCTATCCCCAGGAACACTGCTCCCTATTTTAGAGGTTTTTCTTCTCTAAAGCCCTGTTAAAGGGGATTTATACCTCAGCAGCTTGTTATGAAGGTGTGACCAGGCTTGTGAATAGCCAGCCAACTTTAAAAAAGCATACTAAAGCAAGGAAGCATCTAAAAGCTCCAAGGATTAGGTTTGGATGCTATTGTCCTATTTCTCCAAAAGGAATTTTATGAAGAAGTATCCGTAACATTTAGTTTGGTAGTTACAAGTTTTTAACGTATTCTTCTCTGTTGGATTCAAGGGCCAATTAGAATATCTCTTTTAGTATTTTGTTGGGTTTTTTTTTTAGTTAAATTCTTATGATACAGATGCATTACACACAGACTGACATATCTTGAACATTTATTTCTGGTAGAAGAAAATAAAAGAAGAAAAATAATCTAATGTTGATCTAAATAAAGTATGTAAATTAGATGCTCCTGTTCAGAGTTGCTAGGTAAGTGTAAGTAAGTTTCCTCTGGCCTAATTCCTTTTCTGGATTGGAAGAAGAATAATGTTGATCTAACGAATATTAAATATTGCACGTTAAAGGAAAAAGTGTTGCAGGTGTTTCTGACTACTGAAACATAAACCCTTTTAGTTTTTGTTGTCAACGTTTTGGTTTATTATGGAAGGTGTTACATGAACATTGCAATCATCTAGGAGGTTCTAAGTTTTGAGTTGTGAATTTGTTGCTCCTCTAGATTATTTAATACAGAAGCCAATATTTTTCCTATTTTTGCTCTGAATTGTTCTTATATCACCTTTTCCCCTTCTAGGAGTACACGGTGGAGCAGCAGAAAACTCAGTGGTTCTCTCTGTACCACTCTTTGCAACATTACAAATACCACACATACCTCATGTGTAAGGACGAGGTGAGGAATCGCTTACGGTTTCTGCTGGTTGCGAAATTTTCAATTATCATTATTATGAGATTGTAATCTAACAAACACAAATTGATCCGGAAACATTTCCTGCATGCTGCTCCTCAGAGTCTGTCTGTTTCTGTTGTCTAGATTGCATCGCTGCGGGTGCGGGCTGGCGACCTGGGGCAGGAGGAGACCGTCCAAAAGTGCCTGGAGAACGGAGCCTGGGTGGACGGGCTCTTTGATCGCTTTGGAGAGCTAATCAGTCAAGTGCAGCAGGTCTGCAGATGATTTGGCCTTGGCAGACTCGACTTAAAAAGAAATACAAACAGAAGCTAATGCAAAGTTCACCGCTTAAACTCAAACGGATGCCTTGAAGTCACAGTGACAGCAGAGACCGAGTGTGGAGTGGATTCCCCTCCAGAGATGTCAGGAGCGAAACACAAAGCTGTAACTCGATCATCAAAAGACTTTGTTTCGGGAGGCACTTCGGAACAGTTCCACGTAGTGCGACTCCTTTTCTTTGTACGTTTTTATAGTTTTAAAAGCCATCTTTTTATGAGCCTTTTTTTTTATAGGTTTCTATTGGCTTTTCTACTCTCCTTTATTTTCGGCTGAGTGCCATACGATAACCCTTAATTGTGTTCTAGATAGAGGAAGTAGAGTGGGACAAATAAGAGGCAGGAATCTGATTAAGTACCATTTTAACAAGCCTTCATCAATCATTTAAGTAGGCTTACATACAGAGTTGATATATTGTACAAAATTGAGTATAAATAAAGTATTACTGTAGTTCATACTGTTAGATAAACACCCGTTGTTTAACGGAGTGCCAACTTCTCCATGTCTAATGTACATTTTGTGGAAAGAAAAGCGAGAGGTGAGACCTGCAGCCGTTCTCCGGAGGAGATGAGGGACCGCGAACGACGTGCGTCTGACTTTGACGCATCGGACGCCTTCTCCCTCCCGAGATGCGTTTTAATGGAACCAGCGCCAGTTACTGGTTTTCTCTAACCGAAATCAATACCTTGAATTGCTTCAAGGTCATTTCAAGGAAATAACTGGTAGTTGTCTTTATATTGTTTTATATACAAAGCCCACATTTTATGACAAATATATATTTTTCACAGAAGCAATTATTGTTATTCTTAGGAGACATTGGCTTTTTTCCATTGTCTTTTCTTTTTTTTTTTTTTTTTTTTTTACGTTTCTCCTCACAAATTGACTGTGAGCCAGAAATGTTGATATCACTAATTCTCGTTGCTTACAGGTGCAGTTTGTAAATAAAATGGCACATATGTTAAATGCGTTTTGGTGTGTTTCGCACTGTGCAAGCAAGGCTTACTTCTTAAAGTCTGGGGAAAATGTTATATTTGTTACCAGATTACATAACTGAGTACGGCGTCTTTCACACAAGGAATAAGATGTGTGAAAATATTGAGGTTAATTAATCTCTCACTACAGTAGCGTATTTCCATGTTGAAATGTCTAGGAAAAACAAAAATCTGCGTTTGATTTTTTTTTTTTTTTTGATTGTCCTTCCGAAATATTTATGCAAAAATCTTTGTCATTCACAACAACTCCTGTACAATAAATGGAACCTAATCATTTTGTAATTCATACTACACCGTTTCTGTTGACAAGTGTATCTAATAACTTTTCAATCCTTGACATGTTTGTTTTTCTGGGCTTTAAATGCTTGCCTTAGTAAAATAGAAAGGACAACAAGCCATTTAAGTAAAGCAGAGGTCTGTTTTTGTTTACCTTGGACCAGTTGCCACTCATATACTAGCAGTTACGATGCATCCCTGTAGACAATTTAGAGTAAACGGTTAATCGAATGTGGATGCTTTTAGATAGAGGAATCACTCATACACAAGAACACACAAACTCCGTGGAGGAAGATGAAACTAGAAGTTTCTCATTGTCCCCATCATGTCGCACCATGATCAGATCAGAGAAAAATGATGGAAAAAAAAAAAATCTCTGAATCTCAAATTTAGGAAACTGCAGTAAAATGTGACGTCTTGGTGTCGCAAAGTCTTCGAAACAGCTGCTTGTTTGGAGATGACGCCAGTAAAACTTTTGTTTCCTTTCTTTCCTGTAGTCTGTAGCTACTTTTAGAGCGGATCTCTCAGAGTTCTGGTATCTCATAGTTCACTGAGATACCAGAAAATAAGAAAATGGGTTCTCATTATGTTTTTCATATGGTGATGATTCAAATTATGGCTAAATCAATATAGAAATGTGAAAACATATTTCTCCTGATTCTTTGCAGTACAAAGCTAAAAAAAAAAAAAATCCCCTGAGCTAAAGAGGACGACACATTAGACTGGGGCGTGGACTCTGGACAATCTAGTAGTATTGTGCGAAGAGGAATGCTCAAAAATCCTAATCAGTGCTGACAAAAGTGTGAAATGGAAAAGAATAAAGAGCATTCTACTAACAAAAGAGCGTCTCAAAAGTTGTTCCAGGTGATTTGTAAAACTAAACTATGTTTATAATCTGGGGGTTTTCTCCACAGGAACACAGGGTGTCAGTAAATATGCTGTGTTTTAAATATATGAATTTATCAGATGATTAAAAGTAAAAACACAAGATTAGACTACCTTAACCATTGAACTGCAATAAAGTGGTTTTAATTCACACGCAGTAATAAAACTGTCATTCCTCTGTGTTGGCAGGAATATGCTAGAAAATTTACACACCACTGATTCTCTCTTGGGAGCGAGAACTCTTGGAAATGGAGATTCTGGGTATGGTCAGCTGTGGTGTAAACAATTTCATTAGAACTGTTTTACCCAGGAAATCGTAGTTAGTTGTACTGTTTGTTTTTTTGTTTTTTGTTTTTTTGCAAACGCCTTGGCACTTGGTCTAAAAAAAACTGTCAGCAGTACATTATTCTTGTTTGCCTTTGTAGCTCAGTCCACAGGGGTCAGTTAAAGTTAAACTTTACCAAATTGTTGAGTGTTTTCATGCTAGTGTTGGCTTACATTCTTCAACGGGGCACAGCAAAGGAGAGAAACCAACAGCGACGCTCGCCCACCAAACTCTCATAACCCGGCAGCAACACTGGCCGGCTGACCAAAAGATGTCTCTTGGCTGTTGAATAAAATATGACGGAGAAGCAACAATGCAGGGAGGGGGGAAAAAATTACTGGCAATCCACAAAACACAAAAGTGCTTCTGTGGTGCAGTTACAGCACTGTCCTCTGTCTTTTAGAGCCGGACAGTGGAATGGGGGTGGAGGATAGTCCAGTCAGGCATGCACTTTGGATTCCAGCCGGGGCACAACTGGAAGGGATGGACTCTAAGCGTCTGCTCTCCAGATGAAAATCACATGAATTGCTAAAGCTGCCCTGTATCATTCCATATGTGGGAGTCAGACTGAGGGAACCTTCAGGCTGTGTGACGATGTGAGGAGGGCACAGAAACACGACTGCTCTCTGTTGCATTGGACTGAAAAACATTCTTGCCTTTTGAAATTTCTCCGTCATGAGACGTTATCCGCCGAGTGATGATGTAGTTTCATGTTTCATCATGTGTCTGGAAACGCACTGAAAGTTTTGCTTCGTAAAACATTCTTTGCTATGCAAGACTTAGGCGTGTGGTTACATTGTTATTGTTATTGCATGTCTATAAATGTCAGATTCTACTGATAGCTTCAATATAATATTGGCTTAAACGACATAGGGTTAATACACACACACACACACACACACACACACACA